CAACATTACCTTCTTGTAGATGAGAGAGCTGCAAGAGATGCGTATCCTTATGCCGATCTGCTGCGAAAACGCTAGCGCATGATGATTTATTAGAACGGAGATAAAAAGAAGTATAGTCAAGGAGCTTATGTAGATCACTGCATCGTTTATCGTTGTCTTATAACTTGTGGTTGAATTTGTGACGAAATAGCTGATAACCCAGCTCTGAAAGATTGGTATCACCGCTAGTATGACGCAAAACTGAAAGTAGGAACAATGAAATTTAATAATTAATCTCATAAATTTAATGTAATCTATCTGATATCTAAGAAAAAGCAGAAGAATAAAGGAAAAAAAAGAAGAAGGGTAGCGAGACAGTGAGAGGGGAGAGAGAGAGCGAGCGAGAGAGTGAGGAGGGGTGAGAGGAGGGGAGAGAGAGACAGAGAGAAGATCTCAAACCTAACTGAATTAATCAATTATTTCCTTCTTTATTTCCTTCTTTATTTCCTTCTTTACTGTTAGTTGGTCATAACGAAAAACAGGCAACGCAAATACTTTTTCTATCAGTTCTCTTACAATTAGTAGAATATTTTTGTAATGCCTCTCTTTATCACAAATACAGGGTGGTATGTAATACCCGCATCTACGCTTATTGTGGGATAGAGTGGACTAGACTAAATCGAAAAGTCCTGTACCACTTTGCAGGTTTTGCAAAAGTTAATGAGTTATTAATTATTAAAAATCGCTGTCTTAGGCCGGCCCACTGCCCAATTCAAACGTTCAGCGAGATCGATCGATCGTTATTAGGCGCGCAGAGAGTTGTAACGATCGATCGATCTCGCCGCAAGTTTGAATTGGGCAGTGGGCCGGCCTAAGGCAGCGAGTTTTAATAATTAATAACTCGTTAACTATTGCAAAACCGGCAAAGTGGTACAGGACTTTTCGACTTACAATTAGTCTAGTCCACTCTATCCCACAATAAGCGTTGATGCGGGTATTACATAACACCCTGTATATTTGGTGATATCAGTAATACAATATATACGCGGTGGGCCATTTTAATCCGTACACGGTAAGATCTCCTCAGGTATACATACAAAATACCATATAACACTAATAATATGTATTTTTTATTAAATATATATGATATTTTTTCTCAAAACTATCAATATACATACTTCGATGAATAAGTAGATTCCGTTTATGGAATACGGCAACCAAAATGCTTTGTAAATCGCCTTGTACAATCTCGGACGGACATCCTTTTTTAGTAACACCACTTGCCCGTTCTTACTCATGGTATAGTCCAGATTCTTTAGTTTGTCTAGTTCGCGACTCCAATACCTAGATGAAAAAATATGGCGTGTGTTAACTTTGCACCCCAACATTAAAATTTTGTAGCTCTGGCTGGAGTCCCGTTTTTTTTTAAGAGCTTAAGAGTTCCTAATTGTTTATAAAAAGGGTTCCGCTGATTAACGATCAGAAATTTAAATTTTAAAAATCGGCTGCCAACTTCTTATTGAAATTTGAGTTCGAACAGTTCTGAATGGTCTAATAGCTTCATTTTGAAAGGATGGGCAATATGTAACTAACTGATTTATAAATTGTAGATATGAGAGTAAGACAAAGATAAAAAGTATATTAAACCATTTATAATAAATCAACACATTAAAATTAATTTTTATTGATAGAAATAGATAAAAAAGTTAAAAAATTGGAGAAGAAAAAACGCTTATTAGTAAGATATGTTACAAATCGTAACTTAATAATCGAATCATAAATAATATTTACGCCGTATGTAGGTGCATTAGCTGATTTATTACTAAAATTTCTTAACTTTACGTTTTTCCGTGTTACGCTTAAAAGGCTATAAAAAATGTTGCCTTCGCAAAATAGAACAAATGTCAGAAGTGTATTGTACGTATCATAAATTGCACTTGTATTTTTAAAATAATTATTCAGATTCAATTACTATCCTGTGCACAGTAGAACTGTTACAAGTGTCATTATTATATAATACGTTCGTACTTTAACGTCTGTCTGTTTGTCTTGAACGTAGGCGATACTCACTTTTCGAGATGATCGGTCAGTTTTTCAGACTCATCAGCTTTTATTGGACGATAGATATCAGATTCCTCCAAATTACTTGTACTACTTTTTATAAACAATTTTCGCAACCACCTGTGCACATCGCAAATAATCAGCATACTTCGTCATTGTAGTCCAAAGATTTTATAAACTTATTATATTAATATTACACTGTTTTCTAACTTTCTGTATGCCTGCTTGAACTTTTTGTTCTCGCTTGCACTAGACCAATTATAATTTACTTTTAAGGGGCGTTCGGAGAGCGCACTTTTAGCGCTAAAAGCGTCTTCTATCTTTTTTCGACATTTAGTAAGTGACGAAGATAAACTGATGCTTTCAGCGCTAATAGCGTCTTGCCGAACGCAGCCTAAGTGCAGCCCAGTATAGGAATAAGAAATAAACCTTTTTTTTCTGGCAATTCGTACGTTATTTTTCATGATCAATTAGTTTCTTTTTAATCGTTATATTCTCAAATAAAAAATTACGATTTGCGAATAAGTTATTCGTTATTTTTTATCTGTTATTCATAAAATAAATTTGTCCGACACTGCAATGGTGTGAATGTATTAAATATATAATAATTTAACACAAAAAGACTCAAATATGTAAGGACACAGTTACATATATTAATTGTGTTAATTATGGCAAGTGGTAGCCCATACAGCCTAGAAAGTTAAAACAATGTTGAATCTAGGTTAATTTTTGTACATTTATTCTTCTTTATGTTACTGCGTTAAACGTTAAAACAATATTTAACAAATTACTATTTATTGATATTCTAACAGATACTTAAAAATGTATAAATATTAATATTTTTGCAACGGTTTGGAATTTTCTGATCTAAGATCGGATTATTGCAATAAAGGAATAATCCAGTTACAGCACTGAAAACTTCCAACAGTTGTAAAAAATCATTCTGCTAAACGCGACCACTGCTGTTAACTCAATATAATTTAACAATGGTTTCTAAATATTGAATCGTAACGTTTATAAAACATTACAATTCAGCGGACATTAGACGTTTTTATAATATATTTTCAACGTTAAAACTATATTTTATACCATTCTAGCAATATTGCAATGTTGTAATGGAACGTTTTTGAGGTGGTGAGTCAACATTTGTGTGTTATATGGGTAGTTAGTTTGAAAAAAAATGACAAAGGCGTAAATTGCAAGTCAATTATTTTAAATAGCAAGATAAATTATCTGTAACTTTCCATTTCCTAAGCCCACTTTACACGATCTATAATTCGCGACAGAATTCAAGATAGAATTCTATTTTATAATTGCATATATTAAATTGGCATATGTTTGTAGATTAGGCTAGTGTAGGTTATAACATTTACATATGGATGAGATCCGTTTTCCCTGCCGATTGGACACAAATACTCGCAGCAATCAATGGTTAAGGTTTTTCATTAGACCAGATACAATTAATCAATCACGCATTTTCATGCACTACACATATTTGATGCATCTTTTCTATTTACAAAATTGGAGCATTATAATTATAATTCTGATTGTTCAAATGTTTTCTGTATTACACGATACATAAAAATTTTTAAATGGAATTCTGTCTCGAATTCTGTTGCGAATTATAGATCGTGTAAAGTGGGCTTTACAATGAAATATGAAACGTACAACTTTCAAGGTCTGTTTAAAAAGTTTTAGAATTTTTCTTTAAAACATTTAAGGGTATATCGAATTATGAATTCAAAGTTTCGACATAATCGAAAACATCAAGAAAAATTCGCGGACAAACTTATGCGAGTGCTAAAACGAATACCAGAAATGCTTCCAATGGAAATGGTCTTAGCAGTGGCGTATTAGAAAAAGAACATATTTCAAAGAAGGCAGGGCTGAATAAATTGTAACTAAAATAAATTAAAGTAAAAATTATAAATGACAAAATTTGATAAACTTTGAACGGATTCCTGGGAAAAAAATTCAAATAAAAAAATTGATACCTGACAAGCAAAATATTCTTCATTATAAAAAAAGAAAATTTCATTTTTAAAACATGATGATCTTCCTTTCTCGAAACAGTACAATTTAGTTTTCAAGCAAAAAATCTAAACTTAAGAAAACTCTTCTTTCTAAAAATTAAACTTTGTTGTAGGAAGCAAAGACATTTCTTTCTCTCTTCACTTTCTTTCTTTTTCCGTCTACACTAATT